CCCCTTCTTTAATCAGTGTGGAATTCACAACAATAATGAAGTTATATCTGAAAATATATGTAGTACCTTGGGACATCTGACGACATGTAACTGTCGAGTTAAGGATAATGTCAATGTCCTTCGCTGTTGAGGCCCTAACCTACGTTAGCTCGATGCACATTAGCACTAATTAGCGCCTTCCTACTCAAGATATACAAGTGGAGAGTATTTTCTCGGTCTCCTTATTTTTCGTGAGCGACTCGCTGTTTATATGCTGTTGGTTTCATCCTTCGTTGGGATTATTTTATCTCATCCCAAGAGACCGTCTCAATTTTTATTTTTCCCCCAGGATTATGTTGCAGCGAGGAATTTTCCATTTATTCGTTTAAACACTCTTGCCTGACCCAAAATAATTAATTAATAAATTGACAGTCTTGATTTTAGAAGAGAGATATATCTCTTATATATTATACGTGATTTAATTAGAATAATTATTACCAGAATTTGTATTGCAATTTTATGTACAAGTCAATAGAAAGCTAGCATATTAAAGAAATTAATGAATTACACAATTTTCTCCAATTAAATCCAAAATTTAATGATTTTTTCATTGAATCATGTTCTGCATCTTTAATTTGGGGGGAATTTTTGTAGGAAAATGAATTTTAATTAATACACGAAGCAAAAAAGTCAGGGGAATAATCAGAAAAGCAGGGAAAATCATAAAAATGATTTTAGTTGAGACTTGGAGGATATGGCATTGCGTTATTGAGTTTATCCCGGATTGAAGCGATGAAAATTTAAAATCCACCCACACAATACAATCCACTTCAGCTCATTGGCATTATTATATACAACCTCGATGTACAAATAAAGTAGAAACAGCGAATGAGTGTAGGTCGATGGGTTTACGCAATGGAATTACGTTATACTATCATATCATCCCGAAATTACGAGGGCGTGACAGGAGATTCAACGCGGAACGATCGTTTGTTCATTCGACCATAACTTCCCCGTTATCCCTGAATTCCTCTCGTTATGAGAAGAATATACGAAAAAGCTAGAGATAATTCAAAATAATTTCTAATGAACCCCCAGGAATTCCCGGAAGAACCAATTAAAATCAATCAATCAATGACAATCGCATTGATTTGCGATCTCCTGTTAAAACCAATCTTCCTGTCATTACTCACATTATTAGTTGCAAAAAAATATACATATATACAACCATAAACAATGGGTAGCTCATCATTTGAATTACCGCTTTAAATAATATTTACAATAATGATGTAAAAAATATCACAATAACAATAAACAATAAATCAAAATTTAGAAAATTAACAGAGTCCAACAATTATACAATTTTAAATGTCATGAGCTAATAATAACGCAAAATGAAAATATCGTGATAGGATAACGGAAGACAAATCGGTAAATGGAAAAATAAAAAAATCGGAATCATGATGACTCTACGATATTTTTACGAATTCGCTCTCAAAGCTTGAATTTATCGGCAAAATTTATTGATCTGGGGTTGACATTAAAATATTTAATTTTTTATATTTTAAAAAATTTAGTTTTTCAACAGAAATTTCCGCTGCGATTTCCATCAAACATCGAACAATTCTCTAATCATCCCAGTACCAATTAGCGATAAAATTGATAATGATAATGATGCAGGTATATTTGCAGTGGTAATTGGAGTCAGTTAATACGGATCTACTGATAGCTCGTGTGGTGGTTGTGTGGGGTTGAGGTACATCATAACAACATTTTATATATATTTTTTTTGATGAATCAGCCCACACGAGGGTAAAACAACTCATACAACCATCCATACATCGGCTAAACTATCGTATATACGTCTAGTAACGTACGTGACAGATTCAACGACGAGATTCCACGTTGAGTTTCCTGGCCGTAAATAATAACCCCTGGTGGAGATTTTCTCAGATGATTCGACCCGCAGCTGAGACCCAGGAGGCACACACCAGCAACTACATACTTATGGATACAAACTCACTGGTACCTTTTACACCCCAACGTTTCTATCAGCATCGCAGATTAGAAAGAATTTTATTCGTTTGGCTCTTTTACCCGAGCCCTCTCTACCGAGCTAATTAATTATAATAGCATCTGTTGAATTTGAATTATACGCCGGGGGAAATAAAATGTTAATGGGAAATCACAGCCACTCGCCAGTCAGCGAAGACAGCGAATATACTTTTCTTCGTGAAAAACAAAAAGGATTGATAATCATTGAATTATTAATTTTATTTAAATAAATCCACGTCAAAATTTATTGAAAATGAAATTTTAGCAATTAATCGATTATTGATGAGTTATCATTAATTCATTATTAGATGAATGATGATGATTGAGAGATTATTCAAGGTCGTGACCGATCATCGATGATCATCCTCTGGAGCAATATGATTATCCTTATAATTTTTTTGAAAAAAAAAGATATCGAGGGATTGCATTCGATCGCAATCGATCGCAATCGATCGTAATCGGAATTCATTGAATGGCTGCTCCACTCTTGCCGGAACTTTCTCTAAATCACCAGGAGATATGTCTCACTGAGGTCTATTCATCAGAATTGTCCCCCTAGGGTAGGCTCATATGATGGGTCGTAATCAACAACTGGATCGTCCATTATGGGCTGAGGGTCGCTGACCATCCGGTCAATATCTCCTTTCCTTGTGTCCTTCCACCGAAACGATAAGAAAGTCTCATCGATTTTACTGTTTTAAAAATCAATCCCCAAAATGAAAATGTAAAAAAATTCAACAATCCGAATAATTAAATAGATTCGTATAGATTCGATTTAGAAAGACTGGAAATATCCGATCCGGAAGGGACAATCGGTATTAACACCCCGAAAGAATAATCGAAGACTTGGAATCTATCGGATTGGAACGAGTTGCATCGAGCAAATGGCGATCTCTCCTTTTCCGATACATTCCCTCGAGAAGAAAATAGATGAATGATAAGGCAAAATGAGAGAGGCATTGGCTAGTCGCTGAACGTAAAGCCCGATTTATTGGTTTGAGCGTATTAATTATACCGGCGACGCATTTACCGCGTAATAACGCCTCGGGGTTATCTGGTACTCGACTAAGATGCTTTATATGCACCTGCACCAATGGATGTAAAATGAGAAATTAAAGAATGATAAAAACAAGATGCACTCCGGACTAACGTGCAAATGAATTACCAAGGGAGATGCGTGCTTAATTTGTTCATTCTATTTACCATTTATTTTTCAACTCCACCCTTTACACGGCACTTCCTCATGCATTCAAATGATATTCAGATAAATTACGTAATATCCAGGGTAATTACCTGAGACGCATATGTCACGCGAGATTTTTATTTATTTATTTTTTTTCACTTCCAGATACGAGAGAGGTGCACATGAATGGAATAGTGATCATAGTTAAGTTAAATAAAGGGGAATTCACCGAGAATTATTAGCCGAGCACTAGTATTTATGGTTGGAAAATGGTGGATAAGACAGTGGGAGGGTGGGTGGTGGATGAGGGAAACCGGAGACGTAGATTTAACGCGACAAAGTGGCGTTAAATGATTAATTAAGGGTATACCAGGGGAATAACTGACCCGAGTGATTTACGTTGTTTAATCACGCACACTTGAGGAATTCATCTTTTTATTTAGTCATTTGCGTTTAAAAGGTACGACTAGACGTATCAATGTACCATCGAGACAAACAACGAGTGATTTATGGGATTGTTGAACCTTTATCTATTATATATATATTTTTTTCTCTTACCTGTTTCAGATGATGAGAAAAATGTCAGTGTCATCGGTTGACGTGAATTATTCGACATTTGGTGAGTGATTGGTTGATCAATCCAATGATAAATTTAAGTCACATGATAAAAAAAAAATAATCGATAAATGTCAATTAGATCGGGAAGTACCATATCAATCTCATTAAGGAATGGGTGAAATTAGAGATAAAAAATATTGAGTGGGTATTGAGGGTTTTCTAGTGGTAAGATATATATTACGGGGACGATGTATTCCATAATGTCTATTGCAAGAGCCAGGGCTACGAGGAGTTTTACCTCCTGGGATACTGAGGCAAGTCGACTTAGAAAGCATTACACACATGCGGCAAAGTATAGGCATCCCAAGAAGAGGATCTCAGCGTCAATTAAGCAAGAGTTGCGAGACAGGCCTTAGGACGTATACTCGCACAATCTCCATTTTATTCTGCTCTCCTGTGTTTCAACCTCTTTCAAAGAACCATTCGTCCTCTCCTCTCTCACCATAAACTCGTTTATATTCAATCATTTCCTTTTCCGAACCCATGTACTCTGGTTATTCCTCATAATTTTACTAATCCAAATAGCCAAAAGTCTCTATTTCTTCTCTATTTTTATATTTTTATTTTTTCCCCTGGGATACATCTATTAGTCATTTTGTCATCTGGATTTTTCTGATGATTCTGGCATTTCCAACTTATTTTCTCATTTATCCCATCATTTAATGATAATAATCAATAATTATTCATAATTATATGTGAATTTTATGAATAAAGCTGTTGAAAATTTTGTAAATTAAGAAAAATTTTCCCAGTTCCGTAAATTTTCATTTGGAAGATAAATTTACGTTGCGATGGGATGAATTTTTTATGAGTGAATTGACCCATCAGTTATACTACCCAAAAATTGGAGAGCAGATGTGGATGGAGTTGGTCGAACCAAGCGCTTACATAACCACTTGTTTAGTGGTTTCACCCAATGGACACGAGACCTTGAGACATTTTTTGAGACATTTTTTGAGACATTGACAACACGCGATCATTCAAACGACTCATCTCAACGATCAAATCTCCAATTGACTATTGAATCCCCTGGAGTATTCTCTGCTGAAGAGAATATTTAATTTCAGATTTAAAAATTTGGTTAAAAAATTGAGACTGACATTGTAATCAGAGGTGTCATTGACACAGGAAATTGAAAGGAGAAATTTGAAGAGCACGTGGATATCTGCATGTCGAAGAAGCCCTCCCATTTGCATGAGCAATAGCCCCTCGTGATCAATACATATAAAATTTACCTGTCAGTGGTAACGGTATCAATACTTTACGATCTCGAGCCCAACAATTTTTTTCCTTCTACCGACTCAATAATTTTCATAAAAGTTATTCTTCACGTTATCATTCACCTTTGCCTTTCATTCTTATATCCTTTCTATTGATAGTATTGGATGATGATGGGGAGAGGGGCAAATTAAAATAGAATTCGTTACGCTCGATGGATATTTCCGGGTTTATTTGTCATAGCGATAGGAGGAAGAGTCTGTAATCTTTAGGTGGAGGTTTTTGCAACAGACCGAGGCCAACCGAGGGCCTTTACACTGCATCGGGTTACCTTCCTGGATTCATTCACTTTCCAGTCACCTCACATTCACGCACACCAATCTACACACTTATACACAATTCCACGCGTGTGCACATGCTATCTCGAGAATTGTATGAAATTTCATTTGTAATTAATCGACTATTTCTCCACGATTTTGATGGAATAAAAGACTCTGGTTTCAACATTTTTATCATTCAATTTGACACGATCGTTTGACCATAATTGTTCATTTATAAAAATATATAATATGTAATAATAATATTATATAAATATATAATAGGGACTAAAACAGAACTGCATCTGTAATTTGGAAAATAAAATTCCTGATTTTTAATATTTGCAATAACTTTCGCTGCCACATGAGCCGGAAAATTATAATTTCATTTGCCCAATTGTTTAGTAATAAATGGAAATAAATTTCATGTAAATTGATGCTAACTGGTAATTTAAAGGATCATTTTTGAATAGTGTTTCAACTTCCGTAGAATTTCGTCATTATCTTTTTTATTCTTTGATAATTGAAAAAAAAAATGATTACCCGCGGGATCTTGCATCACTCTAACGAAATTTTTAATCTAGTGTTTCGAGTCTGTTTGCAAGCATGTCCTGCACGTACAAATTCGGCTTGCAGGAAATAAAAATGCCGTTATCCTGCCCCATTATCACCCATCATCACCTTGCGTCATGTTGCATGCTCATACCCCGTAAAGCCTCTGCAACATTCAAGTACCACTTAGGTATTGCGTACACGCGCGGTCTGAAACATAATAGCTGTGCAATAACCACTTGCACAGTACGAAACCCCTCGACGAAAATATTCACATCGAGGGGAAATGAAAAACTAAATGCCATTGAAAACCGCACGCGTGATTCATTAGTTATCAAAATTCTACAGAAAAAAAAAAACAAAGTCCTGGAAATGAAATAATTATCCATATTTCATAACATTTCCATTTTTTTTTCCTAATTTGCAATTTTATTAGATTATTCATCATAAATGTTTTATTCAAAAAAACAATCAATATTTAATCAACAATAGAAGCTCTAGAGGTTCAGAATTATTGACTTAAATTTTTGATTATGATTGAATTTGAATTATATTTCTTTGAGATTTATACAATTTTCTTTAAAACTGAAAAAAATCACAACTACATTTTCAGAATAATGGATAAAGAACAAGAAATAGACTGACTATAATGATTATAATTTTGACTAGATTCCATGAAGTAATCGAATGAGGATCACACCAATTTGTTCACTAAACGATTAAAAATTTCCATGATAATTATTTGAGTAAGATTTTTTATTTTTACATCTTGTGAAATGATGTAGTAATTAAAACTGGGCTGGATGGTGCGAATGGTCATTCAATCAATCATGAATTTTCCATTGGATCTTCAACGGAGGATTAAAATTAGCATGACGATACGAGGACAGGAGTCGAGATATGAATGTGCAAACCCACGCGGGTCCATCGGTGCGTATTCCTGGGGCGCAATATCCGGACGCGAAGATAGAGTAGGCGTTCGATGGCGCCAGCATTGAACCCAATCGATTTACCCACGTCTGTGCCATTCAATATTTCATGATATCGAGTTGACTCGCGAGTCAGACGATAACCGCGGTGAAAATCAAAATATGTCCCGTCGAACAAGGGAATTCTGATTAGAGTACGTGTGTAATGAAGTGATTCATCAGATACGAGTGCAGATTCCTCGGTTGAATGCCGCGACTTATTTTTTTTATACATATATACTTTTTTTATTTAACCGTATAAGTTCGATGACTCGAAGGGTCAGTGGAAAAATGCCTATCATAAACCGCCTGCCACCTCTCTATCGTCACGCATCACTGGGCACTTTGTCCAGTATACGCCTTCTCCAAGACGACGCCCTCCAACCAGCTAAATCCTGATACAATACCAACGAGTGCAACATTCTGGATATGATCAACTATGACAAGTACCGCACTATCGAAAATTTATTCTATTTTCAGGCAGTCATCATTATTTTCAATTACATGATTTTTAATTCGGCAGCGAAGTTGTGGACTAGAAGTGGATTTTTTTCGAGACCAATTTTTAGCCAATATCTCGAGATTGAAGGAAGATAACGATTTTTTCAAGAATATCTTTTTTGTAGCTCTCATCGTTTTCTATAAAAAATTATCAGATGAAAAATTCGGTGTGTTCCTTCAATTCGGAGATATTGGCGAAAAACTGACCTCGAAAAAAAATTACTAATGCTTCAATTATTTCTGCAAAGCCATTTTAACTCGAGATGAAAAAATAAATAATAGTCAATCAATTGAATTCTCTCTGAATGGATCCCCTAGGACAATTCCACGAACTAAATGAACACGGAAAAAAATAAAAAAAGTAAAGATAAGTAAAAATAAGACAGTGTTATTGAGGTAAAAAAACTGTTGAACAAGAAAGATGCCTTAGTCGTAAAGCACGAGTCAGACGAAATTCTGAGAAATCAAAGCGATTCACGCACACATTTCTACAATCGGGATAACTCAAGCCATTGGTACCAGATCCATTGGTATATCCATGGAGTTAAACCCATGCGGTACCATAGAACTCCAGAAAAATGGCAATCCCTCCTCTCAATAGTTGGCTACGCACCATTGCAGGTACAATGTTGCTGGAAATCTCGTAATCCGAAAGATCGTTAAGCGCGCGAAATCCTGTTGTCGGTACATAGGATAGTCAAGGTGTACATACCCAGTGGTACACAGGTACTTGGCCAATATCTATCCGGTTAATCTTCGACCTCAAACATCTGCCACGTGAAACACTAACAATTACGTGAAAATAAAAATACACGAGAGCAGTCGATTTCAGGTAATCCATTCAATTCAATTTTTCAAATAATAATTATGACGTTGATCCATTTGTAATTGATTTAGCAATTAATTATTTTTTATTATGAGGATTTTGCGTTTTCCACTACTTCATTAGTAGAGAAATAAAATTTTTATTTACTTCAAGTGGAAATTTAAACAAACAAGTTGTTATTTCAACTAGATCTTTCTCTGAATGACACCTCGAACTCCAACCTCGAGCTCGTCATCCTCTGGACGTAATTTTTTCCTCCAGCCAGTGGATCTGAGAGGCCATGTAAACAGTAAATAGTAAATAGTTGTTTGTTGTAGAGTACAGAAACCGGTAAAATAAAACTGGCAATCTCCAACATTGATCCTCGATGGTTGAAGTGCACGACGGCTATTCTTTTAGCCGTGGCTATTTTTTGTTGTTAAATCCATCCTTTGAGATTCTTTTTATCGTTGTTGTTGTTATTTTAATTTTTTTATTTTAAATACTTTTCAACAAATCCACCGTTTAATCGTGGTCACGAGTCCAGGGCTGGTGCTTCGAGGCGGTCTGTGCACTCATCGGTTATAACGGTATTTCTCGTCGATCTTCTCTTTACGAGTCCTACGAGAAATACAACGTAGCGAATGTTGCAGGTTGGGGTATGGGGCAGGTGCTCTCACCGAACCCGTCTTCTTCTCAATGAACGCAAGACCAAGAGAGACGATAAGCCGCGAAAAATTGAGAGAGTGAGATGAAGATAAATGTGAGAAGTTGGGCTCTTTGGGGGAGAGGGTTGGATCGGATATGCTCTCCAGGAGGACAAGAAGGTTAATCCGTGTCTAACTGTAAGATAACCGGCCTATCCGGATCGGTGAGACGTGAGCAACAACAATTTCCCGTGTTTGTGCGTTCCCTGAGGAGCGGCTTGTCTTCTCAATGAATTTTTCATTGTGTCACCATCATCTCTCGTTACCTATCAAAATAACGAAACTCTAAATATTACAGCTGGAAAAATTATTTCTTCAGAATACTCCACTTCTAAATATTTATACATTTTTTATGAGTACAAGGAAAATAATTATTGGATTATCGACAGGAATTTGTAAACAATAAAATTGATTAGGCTTTGACGTTAATTTTTATTGAACGCACTCAGGAGGTATATCTTTCTTCTATGACCTCTGCAACTCTGCTAACTCATAGCAACGAGTTTTCACCCTCTGGATCCATTTTACAACAGGCCCTTGTTCATTCATCTCTTTCTATTTCTGTTTATATAAATTGTTCTCCTTATCCTAATGCTGTTCCAAGAAAAATTATAAAATAATAATATGAGCCAAAACAGGTATGGAATAACTATTAATTTTTGTGCACCCATACCAAGTGCTCTCAATCATAATATTATAAATTCTCGGATTAGGTATCGGAAGGGTTAATTGTCCTTGACCTTTTACTCGCTACAACTGTCGGTCAATATATCAATTATTTTTTAATATTTCAAATGACAAAATAATGGTATAACCGACGACTAAATGACAAATTCAATCTGTTGAAATCATATATCGATTTCAAAAAACAAAATCACTTTTCACCCTGAAAAATGGTGGATCAGCCCGCGAGGGGGAATCGGGGTGAAAACTAGAAATTTTTCCCACATTTTCTCTATTTTCAAATGTTGTGCTTTAGACATGATCGAAAAGCCGTAAATAGAAGAGAAAGATTGGCATTTCCATTGGTTCTTGCTTGCAGATACAAAATGATCGATTACAAGAGGAGTCCTTGAGAGCGAGGACGGCAGGATAAAAGACACCGAGGATAATCGTATTTCCACAAAAATGGGAAACAGCAGCTCCCATCAGCACGGTCCCACGAATTTAACATCCCAGGAGATGGGACGCGGTTGGACACAATCATTTCCTCGTGAATTGACGCGACACCACTCGCAACCCCCTGGTCACAAGGTCCTACCAGAACCACCCAATCAGTGTTTACGTGCTACCAATAATGGTAATATCATTCACAACGGTGGCACCATAAGTGGCCGAAGACCATCGGCTTTGACGTTGCCGCACGATCTTAACAAGGTATAGTATATCGCATGCATCAGAATCCACAATTTATCACCCCTTTTCCCCTTTTTCCCCTTTTCCCCTTTGTCCTCACCCCTCATTGGGAGAATCAATTGTTAACAATTGCGCAGTGAACCAACACCTGAGTGTTTTCATCCGATTATCTATATAATAAAAAATTAAAGGATCCTGGAAAGATCATGGAAAATAAAATTCATCTTTTTCTACCTTTAAATTATTGAATTAATAAATTAAATTAAATGATGATTGTCACGTTGTCAAAAACGATTGTAATGAAATTGTCGTGTAATTAATTGGATAATTATTAATATTGATTAGCAGGAGGCATATCGCAGCCGGAGTAGTTCAAACATGGCATCTCGTTGTCGTGATAACGGTAACAATCATTACTGCAGTGGCCACTATCGTCCCTGCAATGGCAGTTGCCGGGGCAATGAAATGATGGAAATAAAGCGTTTTGGAAGTGAACCAGACCTGCGTTATTCACCAACAGAACCCTGTCGTTCCAACGAAACACGTCACTCTGGCTATTATCCAGAGCGAGAGAGCCGTTACCGGGGTAAAAAGAAATACAAAGCACCAGCACCACCAACCAACGGTGATGGCTCATCACCAGACTCTTACAAGTGGGAAATAATCGGTAGGGAGCGTGAAAATATGAGACAAGAGGATGATCCCAGTGTTCACCCACCACCGAGACGATCGAGACTATTCAAGACCCGGGCTGAAACCAAGAGACAATCGAGTAATTGGCAGTCACATCAGGATAGCAATGACAGCATCCTGGACAGTGAGAGACGATGGTGTGACAGGGAGAGAGGATCGTCCAAGGATAATCGAGGTTGGAGAGATTTTCAGGAGAATGATCGAGCATCGCGTACCAAGGGAGCCAACAAATTTGATGGCAAAAATACACTCCAGAGAAGTCTATCGAGTCCTGAATTTCAGGCTGAATTGATGCAGGTTGCGAGAAAAGTTCGTAATAAATTGAACTATAATAAACGAGTTGGACCTGTTGGTGCTGCTACTGTTACAACTACAACTGATGTTCGCATTTCAAAGTCCATGACATCGATTATTGATTCGACTCGGGATGAATATCAGTCTGATGGTAAGAATAATAGGCTGATGAGTCGAGTCAAGGGGAAGAGTGAGGAGATTGTGAGATATCAGGAGGATAAAAAATCCAATCAAGAACGCATCAGGTGTGAGAATGGAGCCATTAGGAGCAATCAGGTACGTTCTTACGATGAGAGTAGAATCGATAAGACACATTGTGAGGAACGGGAGAAGGTCAGCCACAGGAGGAGAGTACGTGAGGATAAGGTCATAGTTGAATTCAATGGGGTAGGAAAATTATTGAATGAACAGTGTCATGAGAAGAGAAATGAGAGAGCTGCTGTTGCTGATGGAGGCTGTAAAAATGATAAGAAAGGGGAGATGGGGAGAACGAGGTCGGAGAGCCCCGGACAGCGGATCTCCAGAGACAGAATGGATGTCAGGGGTCAAGGCTCTGGGAGAGAGAGTACACCAGAACCACCGAGGACTGAGAACGAGAAGATTGGAGATAGGAGAAGAAGAAATGATATTGCTGGGGAAATTACTGGGGACTGCGAGAAATGGAAATCTGTCACTAAATCGTTGAAGTATCAGGTCAAGTCGGGGGAGATGGGTACCAAGAAGAATTGGAATGTCAACAATGGGTGAGCTATCTCTATTTGTCTCTCACTCCTCATAAACTCACGTTTATTCAAAGATAATTGACAACTCTATTGACAGAAATATTGATGGCAAATCTGTATTTAGTTTATCGACAAAAGACAAACAGCCTGCGAAGAAATTCTACTTTGATACTGAGGATGATAAAGTGCAGACAAGCACAGAGAAGCATAACCGGATTCAAAAGCGACTCCATGAAAAGGAATACACCAAGACTCGTAATGAGGTTGATGAGGTAGGCTTTTGTGATAAACACATCCTGCCCGTACTTTTTACGTATTTCGTTTTTAATTGAGATTCTCATTTCTCTTCTCTATTTATGCCAGCGCAGAGAACAAGTTGGAGGTAATTTCCTAGACTATAAACATACCGAGACCTCACGACGATACTATTTTCTATTGCACAAAACGTCCTGACATTTCTATCATTTTTTTAGCACTCTTGACAAAAGTGTGTCAATCACACCTTCACTTAAAGAAGTCATCAAAATAGGAATGTGATAATATAATATAATATAGTATAAATCAATAACTTTTTTTTTCATTTTCACTGATACATGATGTAAAATTGGTTACACCAATTATTTTCCCCGCATCTCAACATATCCCATTCCATTCTCGTGTTGATAAATTTTTGTCCAAGCGATTTATTTGTTACAAGCAAGACTTGTTCTCTACCTCTGCTGTATCTCACGTGAGACACACGTGATACTCAAGTGACATGAATGTTTCTAGATAAAAATTCAAAACGAAGATATAGCCCTTAAATTACGTCCGACCTTGCCGAAGAAGCAACTGGAGATTCCAAGATTCTCGCCATCGGCAGCCTGGAGATTGTTGTCCGCCTTGGAGACCCCAGGACCGACCATGAGCACAGCAAGTGAAGAAATGCCAGTGAGTATTGATTTACAATTATCCATAATAATATAAGTTGTCGAGACGAAAAACCGGTGGATGGAAGAGAGAATGACTCCTCCTCTGGATCACTTGTAAATCATACTCATGACCTTGTGAGACACGTGGAGCTCGTACCAGGTACTGAGTATCAGGTATACATTGGTGAACCGTTTGAATTCCCTCGATTCACATTGCCACAACGGAATAACTGCACAATCCTGATGCTCTTCCAATATCTTCGGAACCGATGCGATATGGCGTTAGCTTTGAAACTCACCACTTTTAGTGGCCATCAAACCATCAAATGGGATAGAGAGAACCGTTCGACGAGGGGCTTGTTATTCATCTGCATTCCGTTCCAATGACCAACTGTCATTACCGGGGGATCTCAATGAATTCATGATTTATACCGCGCGAAAAACCGCTCCACAGATTCTCTCCTATTTTTATTGAATAGCATCTATCTATTTTATTATTATTTATTTTTTCGATTTGATCGATTTGGTCGTTGGAGTACTCTCAGAATAAATGATATTTTATATAAAATTCATCGACTTTATGAAATTTCTCTCGAGCGCAATATTTTTTCCTGTATTCCAGGTAATGTACGAGGAGCGTATCGAAAGATTATCCAGACCCCCTCCCCCCTTGATAGCCCTGGGTCCAAGAAGTTCACACGATAAATCAGGAGATTCAGGCATATCTGGAGATGCTGGAGGCCTGAATGAGGAATCTCCCAACATCAGCACCAACAGGCTCAAGTGCCAGACAACGAGACCAACCTGGACACCTCAACAAGATTTGGGAGAGGAATCGAGCAGTGATGCAGGTGTTGATTCACCCACTCCAATGCCACCATCGATTAAATTTCCATCGAGACCCCACGTTTTCTCTCTGTCTCTCCCTCGAGACGACAATCGCCAAACCGTTTACGCAATCGACAAAGGCAAGGAGAACAGCTCATTTAATTCCCTGCAGAAGATAAAGAAATCGGTATCTGGTGCTTTTGGCTCAAGAGTGAGTGCTGGGGAATTTGAGCGGAAGCGAAACGAAATTATCGATGACAACTGGCTTTTGTCGACGAGTAGTGCACCCACGTCATTGCAGCATAATCAGGTGAATAACAGAGAGACTGGGGGCAACTCACCACAATGGGACACTAATTTCGATGACGAGCCATCAGAGGAGGATAAACCTGATTTTCCTGTTGTAATGAAGCCACCGTCATTCTCGTATTTGGCGTCGGGAGGGCACGTTATGTATCTGCCCTCGTCAACTCAGAGCTTGAACTCAAGAAATTCGATGGTTGATGCCACCAAAAATGTCACCGCATCGAAAAATTCAAAACCACCAAAGTCTAAGAGACACTCAACACCCTCAAACAGTTCCAATGATGCTTTAATTAATGGTAGAATATCGGACAATTTCAAGGAGACTGGAAATCTTCAGCGTGAAAGGTCCTTCATTAATCTGGGCTCGAAGGATCGTACTGTATCCATGAATTTCTCAAAATCCTGTGAGAATATCTCCGAGATGAAGCAGCGGAGTTGTTCACCCTCCAACGTCCCCGAGAATCTTCAAGATAAGAGGAATGATCTTAGTAATTTGAAACTAGCGATAAAGCCAAATCCAAAGGGTAAGCGGTTTACCTTCCAGTCGACGGTGAGGCAGATCGAACGCCGGAGATTGGCGGAAAAATTGTCACGTGAGGCTGAGGCCAAAGAGCGCCAGAGGAAGAGTGAGCTTGAGGCTATGAGGAAGGTGGAGGAGGAGTTTCAGAGGAAGCGAGCTAAAGAGAAGGCTAATATCAGACAGCAGTTGAGATTGTACAGTATGGACGAGAATTCAAGGTATGGAACCAGTGATTTGATAATACATTCTCTTCATTTTACTCTCTTTAAATTCCATTCTAATAAATTGCACAGCAAAGTAATTTAAATAAAATTGATGTAAAGTACTGATATATTTTTCAGCAATAGAATTTGTTTGCAAATCGCTGGACAATTATTTCTAGCTTCGGAAAATTTTAGATTTTAATATTGAAATGAATTCGTTTCTTGATTGAATTTAGTTTGAATAGTCTGATTTGGATTTTATAATGTGTAATTAAAATGAAATTGAAATTTCCATTGGAAACAATAGTTTGCCTCCGGTATGGGACTCTCATGTGTCTCGTGCGGATCCGGACGGCGCGCCGTCCTCATCAGCATCGTCACCAACTTCCGCACCACCAGGTAAACACGCCAGCAATAGAAAGGCAAGTGTTAGCAGTGACGAGTACTACAGGAAAAAGGAATATCGCATTCAACAGCAATCGCAAACGCCGAGAGAATACAAAGATTATCGTCCCAAATACTACGACTGGGCAGGCAGTAACGAATCGTCATCTCATCTTGAAATTAAACAGACCACAGTTCATCCTAAGATTGTCTGCGATATTCCAAAGAGTTCTCATGTATTCGTTGAGACGAATAATCATACGGGAAAGCCCAATTCTAGTTCCACACCACGTTCAGATAATTACAGGTAATTAACTCATGGTAAATCGGTTAACTATCAAAATAACACAATTCAAATTATTAACACATTTGGTAATTTTCTCTAAGAAAATTTTATTTTATTATTTGGTCATGTAACAGGAAAGATTTTGCTCACGGTGCTGTAGCTGCGAGATCGTCATTGGCCAGCAGTGACAGTGAATTATCTCAGCCAAATACTCGTCCTCACTCCAGACAGAATGGAAACAAGAACAGCAAGCCCGTTCGTACTAGGTAAATAATACGTTCCAGTTACTGCTAATGAGTATACAAATCTCGCTTGACACTCTCTAGTCTATCATGCAGTTCTTGAAGTGGGTCAGTTTGCCAAGAATTCAGCACGACTCCCCTAATAAATTCCACTCTCCACTTACAAATTACAGATGATTAATGCAATTACAAAAGTTGAAAATCAGACAGAAATTTAATCTTATCTTGCTAGTTTTTATTCTGCAATGATATACACGAATTCTCAAGAGCAATACTGCATGTCGCATGTTTCATTCAAGTTTTTTCCAATTTATTTTTTTTATTTCGAGAAAAGATAGTGGAGAAAAGTGGAGAAAATGTTGTGATTGATTAGGAATATTCATTTTGAGGGCCATATTAAAATTTAGAATGATTCTACGATTATTTAACAATTAATCGAACTACTATTTTTTATTTGACGCAGGTTTTAAGACTGGCGTAGAGTAAGTAATGCTAACACCTCTAGTCATCTAACAACGCTTCATTAACTACAAAAAAAAATCGAAATCAGGGCTTCCTAACAGCAAATGTCATGAGTACCTGAACTAGGTACGACCTAATGCTTAGCTATTGCCATTTTGAGGGGCTGAAAGTAACTCTACCCTTAGAGTAACTGAAAAAACTGGAAAATTGTTAAAAAATTCTAGAAATCATGTTTTTCAATTTAACTTGATTGACCACTCCGATACAGAATTACATAATTATGTAAAAATATTGATTTGTAAAACAAAAACAATCTGAAAAAATATTGTTCTAAGCGGAGAGTGGAGTTACTTTAAAGTCTTCCCCTAATAATAATCAGAGGGTCTCATTAAAATGGGTTAATAAATCAGGGATGTGATGGAGTCATCGCCAAAGGTTACGAATGATCAGGAAAGGAGATCGACGACATTAGCGCGGTCGACAAGTCCAGCGAGGAGCTCAGAGGTCGCAAGTTCAGAGGAAGAGGCACCGGTTGAAGCCATCAAACAAGAACGCAATTCCATCACACCGGCAACTGGATTTATTCTCAATACCGTACAGCCGTTTGTCAGGGAGAAGAGCTATCGACCCATTTCATTTAATCCTCAACCACCACCAGTCCCCAGTTAAAATTCAATAAGTAATTCCACATTTACTACTATTTTTCATCGTCTCCTTCACTCGTTAATTGTTCTCATCAATGAAAAGTCATTAATGAAATTGCCTTTTTCCGATGGCAATTGTTAGCTCAAAAAGAATGCAATTGTCAACTGAAAGAATGACCTCATAATTAATAATTAACTCAGGAAGATGAATATCATGCAAATCTTAAAAACTGTACAAGAAAATTTATAGAAATTTAATGAAAATTTGTTGCGAAAAATTTTCAGAGTTTCATATTATTCTATTGGAATTTTCTACTGTTTTCAGGATTCATTCGAGTTATTAAGATGAAAAATCACCAATACGTTTTAATGGAAAATTATAAATTGTACATTTCAATAATTTATCATCATAATTCTAACTAATAACCAAATGTGTTCCTTAAAAATTCATTCCCCATCATTTGTACTACCGTAGTATTTATGTTTGCAATATAAAATTTAAGTTTTAACAAACACTGAATCAAAGATTTTTAGTCCGAATGTGTAATTCGTTAACCAATTTTTCTTCTGTAAATGTAACTTCTCTAATCAATTAATAGTTTTTCAACATAGGAACAAGGTTTAGGGAAATAAATGTATTGTAATTATGTACAGAGAACCTCGTAATTTGCTCACTTTAATTTAATCAAATAAATCATTAATGTGTTATGTAAATCATTCGATTTGTGATTATTTCATACCCGCATCGACATTCATCAAATTAAATACTCAACAGCCATGAAAGTTTACGTAATATTTACTATACTGGAATTCCTTGAAGGATTTATTCCCTCAAATTCATGAAATCATTTACCATTAATAAACTTTACCAGAAAATCCTCATTGCGAAAGAATTTGCTTTGTTGAGGATGAATAATTGACTTTAGTAGTAATCAATTTCAATTCCAATCTCTTCCCCTTCGATTCCGACGTGGAACAAAGGAAGAAATCGTAAAACACAAAAGTGATGTCTAAAAACTGAAGACAATAAAGAATGAATAATAATTGAAAAATCGTGTTAACGATGTCTACAGAAGATGGAGATTTCAGTAAAACAATGGATGAATCAGAAGATGCAATATCGTGAGTATTCATTCGTAAGATTAATTTCCATTAATAAAAATCTATGAATTCGTTACCGATTCATCTTCTGAAACCAGCGAAAGACCTTTTGAGTGTATCCTGGACGATTCCTCCAGTGATGAGGACACAGTATCAAGTTCTCAAGTACGTCCTGAGGTCCTTCAAGACAAATCGCCTCCTCAGGCACCTTCTGAAATCCTTCAAGAGGAATCACCCTCTCAGGTACCTCTTGAGTCCCCACAGGATATATCAGAATCTCACGTACCTCTTGACGTACCCGAAGACAAATCGACATCAGGATTGACTTCCCGTGGACCAGGAAGGAAGGATCTCTCTGACGAGGATGTTGATGAAGTAATCCGACGTTCCCTCAATATTTATTTCCAAAATAACTACTGAATATCAATTCTCACTTTTACTTGGAAGCCATTTTAAAACTTTTTCGTAATCAGATAATTCTCTCGATAACATGGGTGAACGGTCGAGTCGGTGCGGCCTACTACAACATTGTGACGTCAGAGTTATTCGTAATGGAAGATATAATTGAAGATGAATTCAATTACTGCATTACACGCAGTTTGTATAAGCAGTGTGAGCCTCGTTATGTGATTACATCATCAGGGAGTCCAGACGCCTTCATAAATATTCTGAAGAAGCTGATCATTAAGGACACAGCTGACACTTCGTTTTCGAGTAGTTCTTGTGTGGACCAAGCCTCACAGGTCGTCCTAAAAATCCTCCCAAAGAACGCCAACACCTTTGACGATTGCATCAACCGAGTGAATCTCCTCAAACTACGTTCAGAACCCAAAGAAATGAGCAACACCGAGCGAATAATATTCCTCCAGTCAGTTCTTAATTACACTTCAAGAGTAATGATTCACGCTCTGGGGATGCTCCTGAAGTACATTGACACCAATTGGGGGAAAATAGCTCTAGATCCCAAAGGAGATGCCAATTACCTCTACATCAATTACATCAGACTTCAAGAGCTCGTGATGATCGAGGAGGAGACCTTCAAGGAGCTCAACATCATGCAGTCGAAGTATCACCCCAGTCTCTTCAAATTTGGTATGTCGATAAAGCACGAGAGGATGAGTCTCTTCACGTTGTTGAATCGCTGTCAATCGAGGATTGGTGTTAAGTACCTCTGGAGACTGATGCAGCAACCAACAAGAAATATTCGAGTACTTCAGGAACGTTTTCGTGTAACTGAGTTCTTCCTCAATCCCGACCACACCAATATCTTCGAGAGCCTCAGGAAAGGTTTGAAGAACATCGTGAGATTGACTCCTGCTTTGCTCAATCGTTATTCCACACCCCTGGCTAAACCCTACGATTGGAAAAAATTGAGTCGGAGTTTTTCGAGTGTTATTCACATCGGGGAGTTGTGCGATATCTACAGAGACTCAGCTGATGTCTTCAGAAAAGTTGCTGACTCCATTACCAGGCACATGCATCAGTCTCGTTATTTCATTGATCTGATCGTTGATCATGAGATGAGCAAGAAGCTGGAAAAATTTACGGTTCGAGCTGGGGTAGATAATGAGCTCGATGAGCTCAATGCTGTGAAGAGATCCCTTCCTGATATGTTGGCTAAGTACGTCGAGAAGGATCTGCAATTATTGCCTAATTCTGTCAAGTCTGCTAAACTCATTTATCTTCCTGATATTCTGTTTCTCCTGGGAATCACCGAATGGGTGGGAGATTCCCCCGCCGGGGTCGAGATCGAAGGGATGGAGTTTAAGTGCTGCATCGGAGGCATACGACATTACAAGAGTGCAACTACTAGAGGTTCATTCAAATTTATCTTCTATATTTTACACTTGATGTAAGAATACACTAAATTAGTAGTCCGTTCAATATTTCAGAACTCGATGAGTCTGTAGGGGACATTCAGGGCAAGATACACCATCGTCAGAGTATTATTCTAATGAAATTGATTAGTTTTATTGACGAAGACATTGGCTCCCTCCTCAAGTCAATTGAATGTTGTGCAGAATTGGATGCGTACGTACACAATTATGATTTTTTTTTCTTATTTTAATGCTGCAATTCCATTAATTCTAATTTTCATCGGAAAATCGTAAGAAACTGTCAATTTCCAATAAATTCCATTTGTCCCTCCAGACTGATGTCTCTCTCGACAGTAGCTCGTGGCCACAATTACACTCAACCAAAAATGGTGAAGTGTCACGTAATTGACATCAAGGATGGAAGACACCCCTTGCAAGAGTTGTCAAGCCAATACGTTCCAAATGACACGCAATCGGGTGAAGATCACAGCCTCATCAAGATCTTTTCTGGTCCAAATGCCTGCGGCAAGACAGCCTACATGAAGCAAACAGCACTGATCGTGTACATGGCACATATCGGTTGCTATGTGCCAGCAAGCTCTGCTAGGATCGGAGTAATCACCAATTTTCTGATGCAGGTTCCCTCGATAAAGAGCAACAGCTACAACGCCAGCTCCTTCCTCGTTGATTTACGCCAGGTCAACAGCATTCTGTACTCGTCAACTCCAAATTCTCTGATCCTCATGGATGAATTTGGTAGAGGAACTGCTGAGCGCGATGGCCTGTCTCTTCTCGCTGGTATAATCTACAACTTCATCAAACGCAAGAACTACTGTCCCCATGTCTTCGTTGCTACCCACATCCACAGAATCCACACTGTCCTTCCACCAGATCCAATATTTGAAATGCAGATGTTCGATTACATGCTCAATGAGGAGAATAATGCGCTGGTCTTTCTCTACAAGGTGATACCAGGCTGTGTCAAAAAGAGTTTCGCCCATCAGGTTGCGAGGAGTATGAAGTTGCAAAATGATGTTCTAGCTGAAGCTGTTGCAATATTCGAGATCATGACGATGGGCCAAATACCAGGGGTTAACCCTGAGGACGATGGGAGAGTCATGATGAGACGAATCGCTAATTTGTCTAATGGTCAAGATCAGCCGGGGAAAATCAAGGATTTTATCAGGACTGCCATGGCTAGGAAGACGTAAAACACTATTGCATTTATTGCAGATTATTCAGAACTTAATGGAGTTAATAATCATTTTGTTGTTTTTTTTAAGTAACATTAATTGCTAAAAATAATAAATCTCTTTAATTTATTGATGAAGGGGAAGGGAATAAGATTGTCGACAAGTCTTAATGTCTTATCCCCCGAATTTTATTCAATAAACTTGACTTATTTACCGGCAACCCCATGATGTCGCCACCGTCCGGCAAAGGGTTTCCGATTTATCCCCTGTCGCCGCAAGATGTCGACGTCACAAATTAAACACAAAAATTGCCAGTTGGCGCTCGTAGTCCTTCCGTTGTCAATAACGGACACTGGCTATAGTAGGCCCGGCTCAAAAGTAAAACATTTCCTCAACTCCTCACGCTCAAATTTTCCCTGTGTATACCCCAGTAATTGGTGTGAAATAATTCACCCTTGTGATCAACCAGGGCCACAACAACCCCTGCTACTACCAAATAATCCCCTAATTAATCGACAAATTGGCAACATTACACGAAATAACTGATAAACGGGCGTGCCTTTGATTCGTACATTTCCGCAGTGAATACAGGGGGGGCAAAATTTTTGAATGCAAACGCATTCGTAACTGTCAGTTTGTGGCTGTCCTAGAGTGGTGAGTCGCGCCGGTTCACCTCGGCCATACTGTGACAACATCCAAAAAAATCTAACCCATTCAATAATTGGATAATTCAGTGAAGAAAAACCCTGGAATCCCTTTATGGTGTTCCGTGTTTTCAACGACTGCAAAATTTATTAAATGACCATGGACCACAGCATGTGCAACATCGAGACTGGCATCAGCATAAACATCAAGAGAACGGACGGTGAGTCAACCCGCCAAACATTTTTTTTCATTTTCTCTCTCATTTCATAACAAGGGAATGATTTTTACTCCCATTTGCTCACCTCCCTCTCCCAGTACCCTAACCCCTCTTCAGGATTCATTTCGTTGGGTCTTGTTGTTACCCTGGAAAAAGCCCCTGTGGGTCTGATTACTTAAAGCCAGTGGTAACTGGTATTATATTTTCTCATTAATTTGGATTTGCGCCTGGATATTCCCATATTTGGATAATTTCCCCTACCTACTTTACGTTTCAGTATACACTTGAATTCCAAGCCAACATACACCTCATGGCCACCAGTGAAACCTCCAGTACTGGTCGATTCTCTCTCGAATGGACTCGACACTTACATCGTTTTCGGTCGATTTCACTGGTGATCCTTTGTATTTTAGTCTGGCTATTGATACCTGTTTGGAGATCAGTTTTCAGCACTTGTTCTAGCTATTTCAACGTTCCTTTTGTGGTGCTTGTCCTGGGTATTAACGGATCATTCCGAATTTCTCGATCGGTAAAAGACGAACTCCCTTTCACCATCTATTCTGAGGGGAGAAGGCTCTTGAAAAATACCTGGGGCATTGTTTTAGCAGTTAAATATTGAGTAATTTCACTAGCCTGCTACTGATTTCTTACTTGATTCGTGGAGTAATCAAATAACTCCAAATGCTTTTTTCTTGTTATTGTTATGCTAGCATTGGGACATTGGGCAATTTTATTCTTTTGCTTTACAAAACCGATTGGACATAACTGAAATGCACCTGAATTAATAAATTATTATTATCAGGCGTATTGAATTACTGATGAACTTCGACAAATGATTCAACGAATTATTTCATTGATTTCATATTCATAGTGTTTTGCAATTTGAACATTTCCATTTTTCCTACAATACCTTTCAAAAATATCACAAAAGTTATAATTACGTTGACCCCCGTCCGTCGCTCATTCAATTTTAGTAATGAATTCTGCATTTCATGCAGCTGTTATTAGACCTTAAACAGATAGTGGTTTTACTGGAAAATTTCTTCCCAGGATAATTGAGATTCGATGGGGATCCTCAATTATCGTATGAATTATAGTAACAATTATATCAATTATTCAGTTTGAAGAATGTCATTGAAGTCTTGCGTTGAGTTTTCCAGATTTAACGAAGTCGAGTTAATTTTGGCGACTAACCTTCAGACATTCGTAATATCTTTAAACGTTACAAATACATTCAACACTAACTGCATTGCCCTGATGTAAACGAACCCACGTTTATACAATGTAGAGCAGGGGATTCTCAACGTAACACGTTGAAGCCGTTATTTCTCTAAACCATTTCTCTCTGTGATCTAAAAGTTGTAAGAATAGCTTCAACACTGTTCCCACTGACTATTGAGACCAGTCTGCAGCATCATTATAATTATTACTAACAACAAAACATAATGATCAACTTTTCAATCACTCCCCTCGTCATTTTTCCCACAACTTCACTGAGAAAAAAATTGTATTATGAACCGAACATGAGATTTACTGGTGCCAAACAAATTTCTGAGGGACAGGAATTTTTATGAGAACTTCATAGTACTTGGGTGTCTTAACGATATTTGCTTGGCAGAAATCAGTATTTTTTTTTCTCAGTGTAGGCGGTATTTTCATGGTATATTTTCAGTCTTGCACTAGGGTAAGTTGTTTCCAATTCACTTTACTCTAGTGATTGATCGCCTGCAGCTCGATGAAACAATACTGTCGACCTACACGACGAGAGCAACTCAATTCAGACTTTCTTTCATCCTATCTAATGAATATTGCAGAGAATAAAATCGTTGCTTGCATGATCAATACGTGACTTAAATTCTTAAATGTTTTCATTGCATAACGAAGAAACCCGGAAAAACTGAGAATATCGTGATAGGAGGTGTTAGGATTCTCAATTCGAAAAGAGATAAGATATTTATGATTCTTATAATTATGAACTCATAATTAATACCTCTGGCTCTCTGGTGAATTAAAAAATTATATCAAACTCTATCCAATTCGGAATCGTTCTTTCTCAATTGAATTATCGGTTCTGTTCTTCAAAGAAATAATATTCCAAGATGAAGTTCTTATCGTGCTTTAGATATTTTTCAATATTTCCTCATTTATATATCATTTAAATTAATTTACAGACAAGTTCTGTTATATATTTATAAGGAAGACGTGTTTCAAAAAATTCTGTCGGAAATTTCAGAAGTTAAAATTATAAAAAAAGGTCTTCGACTTGATCAAGAAGGAATTTCCACTTGAATCGGATAGCTTACGTTAGAATAATGGAACGATCGATTATGGACGTGGGGTGAGACTACGCGGTTTATCCAAATTACACTTTATTGTCATGAAATAAATAGAAGACAACAATCATGGTTGCAATGCATATTTCATAAAGTCTGTTGTGCGCTATCAAATATCGTGTGCCACACAATCGCTAGTCGTAATATAACGGAAATTTCCACGCTCCAACGAAAACTCGTGCACGCTTGATCATCGATCCGTGAGCACCGTGGATTATCAGTTGTTCTCGATGAATTTTATCACAATCCACTAACAGAAAAAAAACATATTTTTGAAAAAAACATTCCACTTGGTACTGAAAAATATTCTCTCTGTTAAAAATCGTGAAATCTCAACTTTGTTCTCACAATTAATTAATGGATTAATTGTCATTATGAGTTGTATCTAAATTTATACAGTTTACGTCATGTTGATAAATTGATTGTACATCACTTTTAAATGGAGAAAGTATTGTCATTTGTAGTGATTGAGGAAGGATCTTGAAGAATAGCCAGATAATTGACAGAAAATATTATCAAGGTCGCTCTCTTCGATATTGTACAGTCAGACCTTTGGCTTTTATTTATGCCTCCAGTGAGATGAGTCACCTTTCCCAAAAAAGGAGAGGGTTTCCTACCTAATGATCATTTATCGACTACACTCTTGAGTTTTTGAATGGAAATTCGATTTTTCATTCTATCGGAGAACATACCGCAGTAATTGATATTCCTGAATTGGAGATGTTTGAGAAAACTTATCATAAAAATTCAATTCCGGTAGAATTCAGTGAAGCTGACATTGAAATCATTGACAATGTTAATTCAAACGAATTTATAAATCGAATGTGTAAACACGGAGAGCTGCGTTTATTCAGGCGTCAGAATAATCGCGTACTCCACCTTCAGGACTTCTCCCATTTCCTCTGAAAGTTGTGGGGAAAGTCGCGAAATTACTTTGGATCGCCGTTGTAATTTCCGGGTAGTTAATCTTCTTGATTTCATATCACAAATTAAACAAATCGAATGATAAACATGAATTTTCTTCCCAGTAGAAACTTCTGCTGAGATTCAGACGCAGTGACCCACGTAATGAGTGACATTTCACCCTGACTGATATTGATTACACATCAATTAGCATTAATAAAAACCCTCGTTGACTAATTTATTCTCTTCTAGATAATAATTATCTCCAATCGATGCATTGTACTATTTTAGATCAATTGCTATTAATCGAGTCTAAAAATGTCCAGAATAGAAGGTCATCCCCACGTCAATTATTTAAAAAACTTTTCATCCAAGGAACAATATGCATAACAAAAGATGCATGTAGGCGGTGTTGGATTATTCAATTGCATTTATCCAATGACTTCAATGATACTTTGTGAATAGATTAGTAATTTATGATAAACAATTCAAAATAGCGCATTGCCGTGTCCTAAACCGGTGATTATTTATTAAAAAAAACTATTTTCATTGGTTGCATGAATCACTGTTAGATGTTGATTCAGTCAAATTTATGTCAGAGTATTTTTTGCAGATACCATTGAGAGCTGAAAAAAAGTTGTTACAAAAATTTCACTGTTGCTTTTTGTTTTGGAGATATTCCTGAAAATATCGCTAAGTATATCTACCTTTGCTCACCACTTCACTATTGGTTTCAAGGCTCCTGAAAATTTGAGCTCAAGTCCTCATTGGAGACATGATGAGACTTCAATGCTTTACCAATAGCCTCTTTACATGTTTATGGGACATTTCCCCTTTGAGATGCCTATCTATTTCCGGGCATCGGCTATTTTAATCTGAGATGTATCTAGATCGAGTTGTACGGACTAGATCGTTAGAGATCAACAGAGAATAGGACCAAGTCAGAAGGATCCGTTGAATTTGCCATCAAAAATTATTATTAACTATACGTGAATTTTCCAATAAGCTCCAGTCTGTTGGTGTTGGTGCATGATCCATTCATCGCTGAGTTCCTCATTCTCTGGATGATCTAGTTGAATTTATTAGGAGATGGAGTGCTCAGAGCTGAGCTGAAGGAAATCTACAGACATCTCATGAGGATAGTCCTTGTCCGAAATTCAGTCGTCATGAACGGCTCTCGTGTGGGCGAGCCAACCTTATAAGGATGCTTCGATGCTTGAGAACTCTTACGCTTATCCACGTTTAAACTCATCGCTCTGTCTCAATATTATTATCTCACTCCATCATGGTCATCGTTTGTTAAATGAGAGCAAGACGTAATGCCATGTCCAAATTACGCAAAACTAGAATTTCAGGCTCTTTCCCTAATCTTCAACTCTCTTTTTCAAGAATTCTTATCTGCGTACATCTCATTCATCTTATCAAAATTGACTGGTCAGTTTCATCATCACTGTTGTAGGGTAGGTACCACCTGATTGATGAACTGATGAATAATTAAGAGAATTACATTGAAACTCGGAACATTGAGCAAATTCTAGTCTTTATTTTTTACATACGCTGCGTTTTTTTATGCGATAAGATAACTCATATTCTTCACGATAGACATGTGGAAGCTATTTTGGATGTCATGTGAATTTTATGACACGAGGAGAAGTATTGACGATAATAAAAACTATTCCTATATTATTTCCCTATTCGTATCAGGTTTGTTGAATTGTTTATATAGCTGTGTATATTCCGCCAGTTCTTCGACGACAGTATTTAGGTCTTGAGTCTGATCAGAACTTTACATTTGATGTAGAAAAAAATCCGAGATGGAGACCTCTGCAACTTTTGTCGTTCTTATTTGTGCCTTGATGTCTTCTCTGATTGAGGCAAATTCCAACTACGATGGCACATTTGAGTACTGTAACAAAACTGGCCCGACCTCCGAAACCTGCAAGCCCTGGAATTCGTCAGCCATCGTGGAGATTGAAACGCAGGATGTATATCAGAAGGGAATTCCAAATTTGAAACTGTATTTCAAGGAGGATAGTTCCCAGGAATTCAGGAAGTTGAATTTAACAGAAGGGGCATACAGCCGCTTCAACATTTCAACGTCTCTCGTATTTGATGGTGTCAACATTGACGGAGCATCGGGCCCTTTTATCAATCAGGATAAAATCACGGCCATATGCCTCAAGAACAACAGTCTTCAAGAATTTCCTCGAGATTTCTTCAGAGGTATTTCGAATCTGACATACGTTGAGGTATCCGGCCAAAATTTTTCGACATTATCCAAACATCTGTTGTCTGAGATTTCGAATGATATAGTGGCTCTGCGCTTGATGAAAAATTCTGTGACGAATATTGAATCCGAAGCTTTTTCAAACTTCCCTAAACTGAAATATCTGCTATTGTCGAATAATAGGTTGACGGAGCTACAACCTAATATGTTCAGTGGTCTCGACAGTTTGGAGGTTCTTGAATTGGATGGAAATAAAATAACCACCGTACAACCTGGAACTTTTGGAAGCCTATTGCAACTGCGTTGGATGAGTTTGAAAGACAATCTATTTGAATCTCTACCCGATGACATTTTCACAGGTCTTAGTTTACAATTACTGGAATTTTCCGGAAATTGGACCGAGGATAGCTGTCAGTCTCTTTTCGAGAATCTCGATCATCTGGTCTTTGGAATTTGCGGAGATGTAATCATTAGTAAAGAAACAAGTGCAATGGGATTGTAAATGTTGAGGCTTGTTAAAGAAATGGTAAATTCAAACTAGATATGATCATGATAGCGCT